AGACAATAAGAACAACAATAAATAAGTGGGACCTCCTGAAACTGAGAAATAAAACAAAGAACACAGTCAATAAGACAAAAAGGCAACCTACTGAATGGGAGAAAATCTTCACCAACCCCACATCAGACAAAGGACTGATCTCCAAAATATATAAAGAACTCAAGAAATTAGACATTAAAATTCTAAATAACTCAATTAAAAATGGGGTACTGAACTAAACAGAGAATTCTCAACAGAAGAATTTCAAATGGTCAAATGATACTTGAGGATATGTTCAACTTCCTTAGCTATCAGGGAAATGCAAATCAAAACAACTCTGAGATACCATCTTACACCTGTCAGAATGGCTAAAATCAAAAACACCAATGATAACTTATGCTGGAGAGGATATGGACTAAGGGAAACACTCATCCATTGCTGGTGGGACTGCAAACTTGTGCAACCATTTTGGAAATCAGTGTGGCGGCTTCTCAGAAAATTGGGAGCCAACCTACTCAGGATCCAACAATACCACTCTTGGGAATATACCCAAGAGATGCCCAATCATACTACAAAAACATTTGTTCAACTATGTTCATAACAGCATTATTCGTAATAGCCAGAACCTGGAAACAACCTAAATGCCCCTCAACAGAAGAATGGATAAAGAAAGTCTGGCACATCTATACATTAGAGTACTACTCAGCAGTAAAAATCAATAACATCTTGAATTTTGCATGCAAATGGATGGAAGTAGAAAACATTATCCTGAGTGAGACAACCCAGACCCAAAAATATGAATATGGTATGTACTCACTCATTAATGGATTCTAGCCATAAACCAAGAGCATTGAGCCTGTAGTCCATGGTCCTAGAGAAGCTAAGTAATAAGGTGAACCCAAAGAAAAATAGAGAGAGAGCTACCTGGAAATTGGAAGCAGACAAGATCTCCTGACAAAAGTTGGGAGCATGGGGACAGGGAAGTAGATGGGAGGGGAGAAGGGGAGGGTTGGGGAGAGCTTAGGGAAGTGGGATGGTTGAGATGGAGGAAGGACGGATATGGGAGCAGGGAAGGAGATATCATAATTGAGGGAGCAATTTTGGGGTTGGCAAGAGGCTTGGCTCTGAAGGGATTCCCAGGAGTCCATGGGGAGGATCCCAGCTAGCACCTTGGGCAGTGGAGGAGAGGGTGCCTGAACTGACCTTGTCCCATAGTCAGACTGATGACTACCTTGAATATCACCATAGAACCTTTGTCCAGCAGTGAAGGATGGAGACAGAGACAGAGACCGACGTTGGAGCACTGGACTGAGCTCCCAAGGTCCAGTTGAAGAGCGGAAGGAGGGATAACATGAACAAGGAAGTCAAGACCATGAGGGGTTCACCCACTAGACAGTGTGCCTGAGCTAATAGTATTTCACCAACTACAGCTGGACTGGGAATGAACAAGCATAGGATCAAACTGGTCCCTCTGAATGTGGCTGACAATTGGGGCAGACTGAGGGGCCAATGATAATGACACTGAGATTTGTCTCTACTGCATGTACTGGTTTTTTGGGATCCTATTCTCTTTAGATGTATACCTTGCTCAGCCTGGATGTAGTGGGGAGGGCCTTGGACTTCTCACAGGGCAGGGTGCCCTGCCCTCTCTTAGGACTGGAGGGAGTGGGGTAGAGGGGTGGGGGGGAGTGGGAGGGAAGTGGGATGAGGGGAGGAATTTTGATTGGTATTATTTTTAAAGTAATAAAAAAATGGAGTTTAAAAAAACAAAAAACAAGCAAACAAATTAAAACCAAGATACAAAAGCTCAAACCAAAAAGGTGTTTTAAGATATTCAAATGAGCCAAGGGGTGGTGGCACACACCTTTAATCCCAGCAGAGGCCGGAGAATCTCTGTAAATTCGAGGCTAGCCTGATCTACAATAGTACAATAGCTAGTTGCAGGACAGGCTCCAAAGCTACAGAGAAACCCTGTCTCAAAAAACAAAAAAAAACAAAACAAGACAAAAAAAAAAGCTATACAAATGCACGCCTTTAATCCCAGCACTTGGGAGTCAGAAGCAGGCGGATCTCTGAGTTTGAGACCCAGTCTGGTCTACAAATGTTATTAAGGTGTGTACCTGCAAGTAATAAAGGTCTGAGGATAAGGGTAAGTTAACAAATTTCTCTCTCATATTGCCATTCATAGCTTTAATATTATCAATAAAATGCTGATAAACTATTAATTTAACTTTGGCAAAGTACTACTGCTACCACTACTGCAAGATCAAGATTTAAATTCTCTTTGGTCATTTTCTAAAGATATTTTTCATTGTACAAAAACACCTCTCACAGTCATTCTGGTATAAATATGCTGCTCTTTATACAATGTATGTGTCTAAAACTTATGTTTTCACAAACTCAAAAAATTCTTGTGAGCTCCAGAGAGCCAAATTGAAAGATTCACCTTAAACAGGTCAGATACACCGCTGGTCCTGAAAAACTTTTTCTTCCTAAACTTACCTTTGTCCTCTGCTCTGCCAACACCTTGCTAGGTTCAAGAGACACAAGAGAGTTCCACACCACAAATCCCAGACAGGAGTAAAGCAAACAGCTACCCCCAGAATGTGACCAGCACCGAGATTTCTCAGAACCTCCAAGACTTCAATGCCCACAAATAAGCAAGGAGCAGTCTTGAGAACCTGACAACCCAATCCACTCAACCTGCCAATGCCTAACTCCCCGCCTTCTTATTAAAAGAGAAAGGTGGGAATGTTGTAAATCTTCTGGCCTGGCCTGTCACCTTCCCCTTTAAGAGACAAGCCCCACCCACTCCCAGTCTCCCCCTTCCCACCCAAATAGATCTCCCACCTCTCTCTCTCTCTCTCTCTCTCTCTCTCTCTCTCTCTCTCTCTGTCTGTCTCCCTCTTCTAATGAGGCAGGCAGCTTCTGCCTCTCTCCCTTCTTCTCTTCTATCTCCATTTTTCTCTCTTCTTCTCCCTCCCATAACCCCTTACTCTTATGCTGTTCCCAATACCTACTACATAAACTCTATATCCAAGTTTTCTCTGCATGATGTGTCTGTCTCCTTCTCACTGTGGCCTCCGGTCACTGCCGCCACCCCTCGTGGGACCAGTCTCACCCAGGTTACCCGTGTCATGAATGATAACAGAGGCCAGAAGTGTAGGACCCTTAAAAGCAGAGAAGAGGCAATTGTGCCCAGAGCACAAGTTATGTGAAGACTGAGTATTCAGAAATCCCCAAGTTGAGAAGAGCCTTTGTCCCAGCCCACCTGCATCCCCCTAGAAGTACAGGCACTGCCATAGGAATTTCTGGCCTCTACAGCAGTGAAAATATAAATTATCTGTGGCTTGAGACATACATTCTTTGGCACTGTGATGGTTTCTCAAGTGACACAATGAGTGTAGAGTTTCGGGTGGCAAGATGAAAGTTATTGGTGTGGCCTAGCCAGTGGCCAGTAATACTATAGTTACTGCTGTACCACACACTGAGTAACTGACTGGTAATTAGTAAGTATTAGTAGCTTTTAACTCACTGTGACCAAAACATCTTCTAGAAACAACTCAAGAAGAGCCATTGATTTGGGTTCTTTTCAGAATGTTTTAGTCCTTTATCATAGAGACGCATGGTGAAACACTTTGGTCTATGCATCAGGACCCTGCAGTGAATGCTGCCCACATGATGACTCTCAAGACCCACCCCTGACCTACCTCTGTTGGTCAGAACCCACCTCCTAAAAGCTCCACAGATTCAAAATAGCACCATCAGCTAAGAGGCAAGCATCGAAAACATGAGCTCGTGGAGGACTCTTCAGATTGAAAACAGAGCAGATAATAAATAAAACAGGTTTTTTTTTGTTTGGTTTGTTTTGTTTTGAGACAGGGTTTCTCTGTGTTGCCTTGGAGCCTGTCCTGATGTTAGCTCTGTAGAGCAGGATGGCCTCAAACTCACAGAGATCCACCTACCTCTGTCTCCCAAATGCTGGGATTAAAGGAGTGCACTACCATCACCTGGCTTATGAAACAGCTTTTTAACAATTTTTTAAACCATAATTAAAATTAAAACTAAGCTGGGACCTTGCCGGTGCCTCAGGACCTGCAGCGGCCCCCAAGCAAGAGAGGCCAGCTGGCTCTCAGAAAGATCAGCAAGGAATAACTTCTGAAGATCAGATCCAAGAAGGGAAGAAAGTTCTGAAACTCAAAACTGAAATGGCCGGCAAAGAGAACACCGGGAACGTAACTGAAAACCCTGCATTCCGTTAAAGACTGATGACGTGATCAGCTCAGAAACACACAACTTGAAGGACAGTGTTCAAGCTGTGCGATTATTATCAACTGAGATGATTTCCACAGTCAAACTGTGACGTCACACCAGGCATGTCACCTGAACGACAATAAAAAGATGCAAGCAACTGCGGAGAAGCCCAACAGGAAGCTAACACGCCTTTAAAAAGATGAGTGCTTGGCTACTATCATGGTCAGGCGGTTCAATCTAACATGAATTCATTTAGAAAGCTTCCAAATGTCCAAGAAACAAACTTCCCACTACTGTGTCTAAAGCTTCGAAGGCTCAGTCTTTGCCTGGAAATGGCATTAGTATAAGAGGCTCAAATGTGACTGCTACCACCGAGTCTGTGAACACTAAATCTGTGAGCACTGTGTCAAAGAACACACTTGTGCAACCACCTGGTAGAACCCTCCACAATAATACCCAGGGTACTGCAAAACAGGGCCTTAGCAGGACCCTTGCCAGTGTTACTATCAGAAAAGGGCCTTTTGAAAAGAATTACTATGATCACAACCAGTTGTATATCCATCCTCAGGACACAAAAAGAGATAAGGCACCATCAAGAAGCATAACATCTGAAGGTGTAGCCAGGACTAATTTGTCTAATACCAGACTGCTATAAAAGTCAAAAAAAAGAAAAGAGTGAGACCGGATTTCAAGAATAAATTAAAAATAAAAATAACTGTTTCCTTTGTGTGTCAAAGTGGTTTATGCTGTTTACTGATTTGAATTAGTTCCATAATTCGGTATATTTATTCTTTACTATATCCACTGATTTCAAACCCAAGGACAGATGTCCTGGATTAGGATCTTGACAGTTTCCTGAATCTGAGTCACTGATGAACTTCACGCTGTGAAAGAGAATCTGAAACTATCTGAGAAGCTCTCCAAGCAAAACACAATGGAGCCGGGATGTGGAAAGATGAGGTCTTTTCCTGAAAACTGGTGTGCAGTGGGGATTAACAGAAAAGGCTTGAGGCTTAAACCTATTGCTGTGGAGTTGTGTCCACTTGATGAGATATACTGGCAGGCTGCTGAAGCTGCACCTGTTGTGGATGGAGCTCAGATTCACCAGGAGACCAGTATTTTTCGTCAGGTATCCATTCAGCCAGCATCGACCGGAGCCATTCATCCCAGTGTTGCAGAAAGGTAAAGTGTTTCTGGTCCAGTTCCCGAAAGTGTTGATTGACAGCTGGAGCCCGAGTAGACCTGTCTAAGGGTGGTACAGCCGAGCCACTGCTCTCACCGGGATCTTGCAGTCTTTCTTGGATTTGGAGGCAAAAAGGAGCCTGAGTGTGGAAGCCCTCCTCTCCTGGAGTTACTACCGGTGATAAGTGGCCAATAAACACTGAGGAATTTTGACCATCACCCCTTCCCTGTACCACCTGGGAGGGCTGTAGTACTGTGGTCCTTGACAACTGCTTCTGATGGCCCCTGGAGAGATTCAAAGGACCAGATGGTGTGTGGGGTGGAGAAAGAGCTGTTGTAACTGACAAGCGGCTGGAGAGAGTTTTGGAAGGAGCAGGTTGATCAGTAGTCTTCAGGGCAGGGCACTGGCTGTTCTGGGAAAGCTGAGCAGTTGCCTGTTTGCGACCTGGATGCCGAGCTCTCCGGTTCTGAAACCATATCTAAAACATACACACACACGAGAAAGAGAGAGAGAGAAAGACAGAGAGACAGACAGACAGACACAGAGAGAGAGAGAGTCAGAGTCCTTAATAGCAGAAATGATTCCACCTGTTTCTTATGATTTGCTAAGCAGAATAATAACAAGGGGACAAGGACCAAACCTTTCAAATGCAGGTTCTTGGTACTTCATTTCCTCCAATTAGACCCCACATTCCACATCTCTACCACTTCCCAACAATCCGTTAATATTTCGAATAGATTCTTTGCAGAGATCAGCTCAGAGGTCTTCTGCTCTAATGAGCTCTGGGAATGCCTCATCTCACCACCACGCCTGGAGATGAGCTTCACTAATCTTCAGTGTTTCTCAATCTCATTACATTGACAATCAAGATTAAGTAAATCAGAGCACATGGCCATGGGTAAAAATAACAGTATGGTTGAAAACACAGATTTAGAATCCACCCCCTTTGGTTCCCAGCCCTGATTCAGGAAACAAGTTCTCAAAAGCAGGGTGAATCTCTGCTCATCGTGGAGCATCTAAGAAAATGGAACTTGCAGAGGGCTCGGAAGCACAATGGCCGATAGGATCGTCTAAGGACATGCTTCAGAAGCATGCTTATCAATCTCCATAATATACAAAGAGCGCAGGCAGTGTTCTAAACTTCTCAGGTTACAATAAGAGATGAGCTGAGGGCTAGGCATGCAGACATCCCACGCACAGAGGGTCTGGATGCTAACTAACATCCTAACACACAGGACAACACCCTTATCCTCTGGTACTGAATTTTCAATATTTCTGAGGATTAGAAATACTAGAAAAGATTGTGTTCTCAAAACAAGTGTGACCTTCCAGCTTTCCCAATCTCACCTAGCCGTTTTCTCTTTCCTCCCTCCCTCCCTTCCTCCTTCTTTCCCACCCTTCTTCCCTCCCTCCCTCTCTCCCTCCATTCCTTCCTTCCTTCCCTGGTTTTTCGAGACAGGGTTTCACAGTGTAACAGTCCTGGCTGTCCTGGAACTCAATTTGTAGAACAGGCTGGCCTCGAACTCACAGAGATCCACCTGCTTCTGCCTCCCAAGCACTGGGATTAAAGGTGTGCGCCACCACCACATGTTTAATAGTTATTGCTTATTTCCTATGCTTCCACAGGTCTGATGCGACTGTTTTTCAGAGTGTCTACATCTCATACCTAGAACAGAGGGGACAACCCCAAACCATCGGCTTTTGTGCAGCAACAGCTGCATAGGACAAATGAATGCCAGAGACAGAGACCCTGGGCAACATACATGAATTCTGGATTCCGGGATGCCTGTTCGTTGAGCCAGTTTTTCCCTGGTAGCAATCCCAGGGAATCGATTCTTCTCGAAAGCTTCAATTAGAATATCAGTCTGAAATCTTGAGAAATGTGTCCGGCTCCTCCGAGCTTCTTTAACTACCGAACGCATAGGCACACAACAGGGTTTGCAAGTCAGTTTTCACATTCAAACTTGAAAAAAAAGCAACATTTTGATTATTGTTCTGACTACTTTTACTCTTGGAATATGCTCCACCATATACTACCAAAGAACTCTTTAATCTATCTTGTCCCTGAGATGAAACCTCAGAGGTGACATCTGCATCACCAAACAGCAACAGAAACAAGGAAAGGGAAGCTTTTCTTGCTAAGAGGCCATTTCTGTAGCCCAGGCTAGACTCAGACTCTCTAGGTAATCAGAGATTACCCTGAGTTTTCTTGATCCCCTGTCTTTCACCTCCCAAGGCTGGGATTACAGTTACCACCCCAGCGAGATAATGTTTGTATCTCTGACCCTAGCATGCTCAGAATACAATAGGTTTCTGGTCTAAGCTTTCTCTATAGAATATTTCTCCATAGCACACAGTTGTTTACATTCCTAAAGCAATCAATGGAGAGGTTCTATTTGAACTCATAGGTCTTACCTTTAGGTTTATCCTGTTTTGGGGCTTGACTTTCTTCAAAGTAACATTCAAACTCCACTTGTTTCTGTATTTTTCTGTTCTTCTGAAACCAAGTCTGTGTGGGGGAAAGAAAATGAAGAGAGGGAAAGCAGGATGAAGCTCAGCTAGATCACTGCAAGTGTCAACTAAACAAACTGATTGGGCATCTTCCCTGGAGACCATGTCCATAAGAGAAAGGTAGAATTCAGTTATTTGTATTGCTATGTTTATCTAAGACACCAACAGGAAACTCTACTCGTTCTCCCACCTGCTCCCCCAACCCCCTACCGTGTACACACACATACTTCATACTTGTTAAGTGGGTAAAGTTTTCAATGCTAATTTCTTGGCCCCTAATTTTAGCAAATATCATTTCACAACGTGTAATACATATAGACTTAAACTTTGAAAATAATTCCCTTAAATAGGAAGGAAGAATTGACACTAATTTCTGATTACAGCTTACATTATTTCACTCCAGGGGAAGCCAGAATTATAAGGAGACTCCCAGCGATGCCAACATCTAGTTTTAAAACTGTTTCCACAGACTGGAGAGATGGCTCAGCAGCTAAGAGCACAGGCACATAATATTCTTCCATATTGACTTGAATTCAATTCCCAGCCACATCAGGTGGTTCACAACCCCCAGTAAACAGAGCTCACAGATACATACATACTTAAAATAATAAAGGTAAGTTTAAAAAGCCATATGCACCACTATAATTAAATTTATTTGTACTTGTTCTCTCGAAGGAGAACTGTGGGTTTTTGGTTTTCTTGGGTGGGGTTGTTGCTGGTGTTTTAGTTATTTCTGAGTATTTTCTTTGGGCTGATAATTCACTCTACCATTTACAACCTTAATGACAACCACTATCAGCTGAGTTGTTAAGCATAGGCCTTGTAATCCTAAAACACCAATTTCAAGTTTTGTTCTCAAAACTCCTCATGTTTTTCAGATTCAGCATTGAAAATAAGTTTTCAAATTAAAGCCTTATGAATAGCTGGAAGCTTCCAACTAATGAGTTGGAATAAACGTTCTCAAGAGCCACCAACACCCTGCAAGGTGCGGAACTTTTCCATCAGTTCAAGTCTCTTGGGTACCCAGCCACCAGGTGTGCCCACACGGAACAATTTCATTAGCATTATTTGTGCCAACCATCTCCCATACCTGGATAGTTTATCAGGGCATAAGAAAATTTTCCTTTCTCCATGATTTCCAAAGAGTCAAGTCGTTATATCAAAGGATTATTCATCAAGTATAAAAACTTGAACTAATTTTCTCACCTCTAAAAGTTTTTCTTCACTGGTTTAAATACCAATCCACTTGATAAAGTTATACACTTTACTACTCTAGTTCACCTTTGTCTATCACATCAGCAATTTTATTAAAATAAACCATATAGAATTTTACACAAAGCTTTTATGTAAAGGACATTTGAGATTATAAAAGAAGGAGGGAGAAGACAGAGAACAAGAAGAAGGAAGAGAGAGAGAGCTATGGTGGCACACCTTTAACCCCAGCGTTAAAGAGGCAGAGGCAGGTAGTTTCTTACTTCTAAGACATAGCTAGCTTGGTCTACATAGTAAGACTTTGTCTCAAAAACAAAAACAAGCCATGCAATGGTGGTGCACACCTTTAATCCCAGCACTTTAACGCCGGTGACAGAAGCAGGGAGATTTGAGTTTGAGGTCAACCAGGACAGTGAGTCCCAGGATAGTCAGCACTACACAGAGAAACCCTATCTCTGGGAGGAGAGAGAAAGAAAGAAAGAAAGAAAGAAAGAAAGAAAGAAAGAAAGGAAGGAAGGAAGGAAGGAAGGAAGGAAGGAAGGAAGGAAGGAAGGAAGGAAGGAAGGAGGGAGGGAAGGAGGGAAGGAGAAAAAAAGAAGGGAAGGAGGAAAGAAAGAAGGGAGGGAGGGAGGGAAGGAAAAAAGGAAGAGAGAAAAGACAAAAGAAAAGAAGATGAAGGTAGGAAGGGAAAGTGGAGATGTCCAGAAGGACTGGGAGGGAAATAAGAGAAGAAATTCAGAGAGGATGATTCAGATTTAAAAAATTAATTATCTGGTCCATGGTGGTGCACACCTTTAATCCCAGCACTCAGGAGGCAGTGTCAGGCAGATCTCTATAAATTCAAGGCCAGCTTGGTCTACAAGAGCTAGTTTCAGGATAGGCTCCAATACTACAGAGAAACCCTATCTCAAAAAAAAATTAACTAATAAATAAGTGAGAAACGAATAAAGGATAAAATAGTACTAACCTACAAACCAGCAATTTTCATGAGGTCTTAACTTCCCTATATTTTCACAGATGTTAATTTTATCCCTTATGTTCTCACGATGAAAGGTTCTACATTACTATTCTGATGACATAATTTCTTGTATTCTGTAATTCTCAAGATAATGATTTCATTATCTCCTATGGGGAAACCACGAACTAGTTATCCTTTCCCATCAGTGCAGGCTCACAAACAATATTTCCTTCAATAAAACATTTTATTTCAGACTGGAGAGATGGCTCAGAGGTTATGAGCACTGACTGCTCTTCCAGAGGTCCTGAGTTCAATTCCCAACACCCACATGGTGGCTCACAGCCATCTGTAAATGAGATTTGGTGTCCTCTTCTGGCATGCAGGCATACATGTAGACAGAATACTATATACATAATAAATAAATAAATCTTTTTAAAAAACATTTTATTTCTGTTTTATCTTCCCAATACATATGGAATAAACTTAGAAAAATACAGCCCACCTATGAGACATGCCCAGGGAAACTTAGCCTGGCTTTGCTCTTCACTTTGATTCAGAGAGAGGACAGGGGTTTGACGCCTACCATAATTTGAGACTCTGAGATGCCCAGTTCTTTAGCCAGATGCCCCCTTGTAGCTAAATCTGGATTAGGATTCTTTTCAAACCATGCAAGAAGAGTGTTCTTTTGATTCTGGTTCAGAATAATTCTCCTTCTCCGAGCTTCTTTTTCCAGTAGACCTAGCAAAGAAAGACAGGTAAAAATGTGAGTAGGACATCTTTTCTGGCATGAACTCCTGCCATGTCTGCTCCATGCTGAAAGCCCCGACACACAATGACGACTATGTATTTTTAATTTAGTGATATCTTTTTGTTTTTGTTTTTTATTGAAACAGGGTTTCTCTGTGTAGCCTTGGCTGTCCTGAAACTCACTCTGTAGAGCCAGCTGGCCTTGAACTCACAGAGATCCTCCTGCCTCTGCCTCCCCAGTGCTGGGATCAAAGGTGTGCTCCACCACCACCCAGCTAGGAAGGTATCTTAAGCCATGCCAATAAGACATGCACAGGTATAAACATGAATTTTAGAAGAGATGATAATTATATTAGAATAAAAGTAAGAAATTACAGAAATTCCCACAATGGTAGATGAAAATAGAAAGTAGTGGGAACTAGAAACATGCAAATTAATGAAACAAGTATATAAGTTTTAAAAATTGAAAGGTTAAAAGATTGAAAGGTTAGATTATTATACAAAAGTTGAACTGTGGAATAAGTGACATACTTTTAATAAAACGAAACATTAGATGTTTAATTATCTCTTTATCCAAAGTGTCAACTTAAATATTCTAAGTAGTCTCCTTTAAAAAAAAAACAAAAACAACAAAAAAACCCTGTTATTGTAAATTACAAGTTCCAAGAATTTCAAAGCACTCATTCATCAACCCACCCAAAATGTCAATAAAATCCAGCTCTCTTGCTCTCCCTCAAACAGTGGAAAAATCATGATTGTGATGGAAAAGTTCTGAGGTTTGGGAAAACAAAGGAGGCCTCTGGCATCACTGCAGGAATAAACAGAGAGAAACATACCAAACGTGCAGCTTAGATCCATACTGAAGTCAACTGGAATCCGGGAAAGACAGACGAGACAGACGAGTGGAGTGGCCCAACTGAGCTGCTCAGAGACACAGTGTTTATCAGAGCCCAGCCTGGCCCACCCATCCCTTAACTACCTGTTGCTTTCATCCCTTCATTAAATATGCAACAGCACTGTGGCAAATCTTGATTGTCAACTTGATTGGATTAAGAGGTTCCTGGGAGATTTGTGGGCTCCGCCTCTGGGTGTGTCTGGGGTGTTTCCAGGCAAGAGATTAAATCATAAGCAAGTTGAGCTAATCACAGGTTTAACCCTTTGATGGACTGACATTTAGAAGACTCTTGACAGGTGATGAGCTGTGAATGCTGGGACTTAGTTGGAGGGTTGCGTGACTTTAAAGGCCAGGCATTGGCCGTGGTGCATTGCTGTGACCCTCTCTATCTCTGTTTCCTTAGTTCCAGGAGAAACAGCCTCAGATTCACTGCCTTGATACTCTGCCTGATCAGTTCCCCAGCAGTGGAGTCTGCTAACCGCAGACAGACCCTCTGAACCAGGAAGCAAGAAGTGAATTCTTCCTCCTTCAAAGTGTCTCTCTGGGGCACTTGTTAGAGCAATGTGAAATTTGACTAACACATCCACAGAAGAGAAATTTGAAGTAATTACTTACACAAAGAAATCAAATTTGGAGAAAAAGTACCAAATCTTCTGAGTAATTTGGCATCTATGTTAATATCATATAAATGTATGGTTTCATTTCTGAGCTCTCTAGATTGTACCTGTATATTATTTCAGCTTTTTCATTATTTGCTGTGCTCGGGATGGAACCCAGTCTCAAACAGGTTAGGTAAGGTCCCTATCACTGAGCTCCAGCCCCAGCCTCTGCTATTGATTTTTTTCCTAATTATTTTGACTTGACCATATTCTTTAATTTATTAGGAGTCTCACTTTGTTCCATATTTTTTCAACTTTTGCTCATCTTCCGCTAAAACACATTCTGTTTATTTTATTCTTTCCTTACTGATCTAATTGTATGTCCCATTGGCCAGCCTAGTCTCTAGCATATCAACTCAACCTTAGGGTAGGTGTGCTGCGAATGTATTTGGCACATGTGATTAAAAAGTAAAACCAGGTGACTTCAAGTAAAGCAGACTATCCAGTAGGAGTGGAACTGGCTAAGGAGGAAGAGAAGGTAGTAAAACTGGCACCTGCCTGAAGAAAGCCGACAGTGGAGAGCTAACACTGCAGCTGCGGCGTAAGAAGACCAGGCTTCTTCCCTCTTCTTCCCTAGCTGGCCCTGCTACTGTGCATGTATATGTGTGTGCGTTGTATACACATGCCTTGTGAGCAAGCATATATACACACTCGCAAAATATTTTCATGTCCTTTTATCCCGTTATTACCTAATACAAGACATATTAATAGCAATTAACTTCGGGAGCCAGTAAGATGACTAAGCAGGTAGGGATACTTGTTGCCAAGCCGTGACAATCTGAGTTCAATTCCTAGACCCCATATGATAAGAGGAGAGAGCCAGCTCTCACAAGATGTCCTCTGACCTCCACATATTACATGGCAGGAATGTGCCCACCTTATACATACATAAATAAATAACAACTTTATATAACCACATTCAACATATGGTAAGAAAAGAATGAACCTCATCCAAGAACCTTCTCCTTCTGAGTAAATGTGTTCAGGGGAGAGTTATAGAAAGCTAGAAATATGATCTGTTGTTGTTTTTCATTTGCACCTAAGAATAGCTTAGATTAGACATAGGCATGTCAAGTTGGTATAACTGTTGTAACTCTGGGGCAAGTAACAGTGGAATTAAAACTGCTAGTGAGAAATCATTTCAGCTGTCTCTGTTGCTAAAGAAAAAGACAGTTCATGCTTTAGAAAGGTGGATAAGCCCAGGACCTCTGAGAAACAAACTGTCGCAGTTACTTTTTCAGCTGAGACAAAATACCCTGATGAAAAGCAGTGTGGGGAAGGAAGGGTTCGGCTCAGTTCCAGGCTCAGTCCATCATGCAGGGTGGTCAAGACAGCAGGAGCCTGAAGCAGCTGGTCATACTGTTTCCCAAGTCAGGAAGCAGACAACCAAGGATGTCTCTGCTCAGCTAGCTTTCTCCTTTTCAGTGTAGTCTGCGATCCAAGCCCAAGCCCTAGGAAAGGAGCAGCCTGTTTTGAAAGTGGGTCTTCCCACCCCAATTAACCTAATCAAGATTAACTTGCAGATGTGCCAGGAAGCTTACCTCCAGGTGAGCCCGTACCCTGTAGAGGTGATGACAATTTTTACCCATCACCCACATCTCCACCAATCCTATAAAAGCTAGGTAGTCACCGCAGTGTGTCCATTCCACCATCAGGTTTTCTAGTTTGTTTTACATTACAGTCAGACATTAATTTTTAAAAATTGTTGGCTGAACACGTAACATTGCCAATTTTCTGTAGCCAAAAGTCACATTTCAATATGCATGTATTGTTAAAAATATGTTTTGTTGACAAGATATATTTTTGTGGCTTGGCATAAAATACATTGTTGTCTTCACTTTAAAAATATTTACAATAACAAAGAAAACAGACAATAAGTTGGGAGTCCCTGTAGCTAAATGAAATCAGTTGCATTAATTAACCTTTGTGCAGGGTGTTACAGATATCTGTCTATGAGACCAGTTTTAGTTCCAAAACAGCCACGTGACTAAACTAATGAAAAAATACTTGTGCAGAAAAACTCCTATCTAGATCGACAGTATCTACCCATATGGTAAAGAGGAGACCCAGTAGCCCCTGATCCCCCCACCCATGTATTTGCAAATTAAGCAGAGATGGAGATCTAGTCTAGGCATTTCAGTCAGGTAGCAGAAATTACCTAATTAGGGGAATCGCATCTGAAACTGAAGGATGTGAAAAACACCTCTCCAGCAGCAACTTGGTGTCCCACTGATACCACCTCGTCCTCTTCACAGTCTCCTCCTCTCCCCACTCCACATACCCCCTTCCCCACTGTATCAGAAGAGAAAAATGTTTGCTTTCTGGGGTAAGATGGCGGATTGGATGCTTCCTCCATGCAACCCCGGGACAGAAGAGTCAGGGTAACAAAGACAGGGTAACAAATACGGTGTATTCCCAAAAAACAAAGAAAGGAAAAGCATCAAAAACAGGCGATAGGACAGATGAAAAAGGATGGGAAAATACAAAGGCTAGCTATGACAAAGACAGGAAGAAGCAAGCTGCAGCCCCAATCTCCGCAGAGGAGCAGGAGCCCCAACCACGAGTAAGCGTGTCAGCCCTAGTGACAAAAGACTGGCAGTCCCAGCAGCAGGATAAACCCACAGTTCTCACAAGCCTTAATCCAGTGGGGGAGGGAAGATAATGCTTCCTCCGGTGGGGACCCGCCAGGGGCGGGAAAGAAATCCTGCATCCAGTCCCTGCATCCAAAGCCCTATCCAACCCGGTGTTTCAGAAGTGCAATGCTATACCAGGTGCCTGGTCGAGAAAGGACCTATTGTTTGAGACTAGGCTACTCTGGGACTCCGAAAACAAGGAACAGTAGTCACAAGTCAGCGAACATGGGGCCACCCTGCCACAGAAGCTACCAGGCGCAGATGTAAAGAGGAAGGGTCTGACGTGGGCGGACTGGGAAGTTTTAGGGGCGGGAGATCAGAGGGGGTGCCCCCTCCCTGAGAACTGAGAGCTGGTCCCAGCAAAGACACAGAGAGATCCAAGTCCCGGCTGGCGGATTCCTTGGCCTCCGGAGTTGCCTCTAGTCTGCCACGTAATGAAAGAAAAACACCAAGAGCCCAGAGCTGGCAGATGGCTCTATTTCCAACAGGGAGGCTTGCTGCTAGGCTGGGGCTGCGTGCCCGAAAACAGGCAGACAGCTTGTCATCCTCTCCCGGTGCAAAAACCAGCACTCCTTGATTCCCTTCCGATACACTCCTGGACACCTCTAGGCTTGGACATTTGCCACTGCTGGGTGTACAAATTTAAGGGGTGGAGGATCTATGGATTGGGAACCTGCCTTACTCACAACCCGCAAAGTTTACTGTGGTCAGCTGCAGCCGTCAGGGAAGGGAAGCTAAAAGAGTGAATGTATCCCTGACCTCGCAGCCCACCCTTGACTAGGGCAGACCCTCTCCGCATAGGCA